TCAAGGCCACACAGTGACCTAGTGGCCAGAATGGTCCCCCTCTCACTGAGTTCTCATGGGACATTGAGTGGAGGCATATCTATCCTCCATGTCTCAGAGCATAAACCATGACACCACTCTCTTGTCTCCCATCTGATGACTAGAGCTCACCAGGAACCTCCTGAGAGAAGAAGACAGCAGGTGGAAGAGGGATCCCTCATTGATCCTGAATCATGGGGTGGCCATGGTGTGGAAAAGACAAGGTCTTGTCTCCGTTTGGTTTGTCAGTGGCCATCACTTGGTAAATGGTGCAGATATTTTCTCTCTAGCAGGTCAGGCTCCTGCCCTGGCACAGCCCAGGGGCAGAGAGACTGCTGTCAGAAGAGGAGGCAGCTCTAAAGGCAGATGTTTAAAAAGACGCAAACTCGTTCCATTATCTTGGAGCCCGTGGAGGTCTTCTGCAAACAGGATTTCTAAAATGTCAAATATCTTTGGAAGACTGGTCCAAGGCCCCCCTTTTCCAGCTATGAGCGGGGTCTCTGGAACCAGAGGGGTCACACAGCTCTTTTTAAAATGGAAGGTGTTTATGTCCCTGATGAAACTGACTTCTGTTTAGGCAAGAGATGGGTTTATGTGTATAAAGCAAAGAAGAAAACAGTGACTCCTGGTGGCAAACCTAACAAAACCAGGGTAAGCTGGAGAAAGAGAACTCAAGCCTATGGAAACAGTGGCAACATGGTTAGTGCCAAATTCTGAAGCGACCTTCCTGCTAAGGGCTTTGGACACATGATTCATGTGCCGCTGTCCCCTTTGAAGACTGAAACATATTGAAAAGTAAATAAAAGAAATTGTGGGAAACAAACAAACAAAAAAGGCCTCAAGCCTCGTATCTAGAAGGCTATGCTGGTGGGTCAGTTTTCTCCTCTCTCAGGACAAGAGCTGGGACTGCCTGGACCTCCCTGTACCCCATTCCAGGGGAGAGGCAGGCACTCCATGGCTCTGCACTGGGTGCTGTTACAGGATGGCCTGGCCTTGGCCCAGGAGGTCTGAGTCCTTGTGCTGACTCAGAGCAAGGAGCAGCCAACTTCTGGCTGAGGCCCAGTTGTAGGTGGCCAGCTAGGCCTAGTCTTAGTTAAAGATGCAGCCGTGTTTTGGAAACTCCATTTGCTCAAATCTCCATCTGGATTCCAAAGGTTCTGCCTGTTCTTGATGCTGCAGGGCCACAGAGAAGCATGGTGACCCTGCCTGACCCAGAACATCAGGGCCTAGGAGCCCTTGAGGGCACCACTCTAACCTCGGCCATGCAAAGTCCCCCATGGAGCCTGCCCACAGAGGGTCACCCCACTGGGAGAAGCATCTGTCTCAGTATTGAGCAGCTTGAACTATGTGAACAGATGTCCCCAAAGTGAGCTCAAACCAGCCTCATCATTCCCTTCCAAAGTTAACTGGTCTTCCCCGAACAGCCCTCAGAACTTTGATGGGGAGTCTGGTCCTGCCAGTCATTCCTGCTGGCCCTGGGCAGGTCCCTACACCTCTCCAGGCCTAATTTCCCAACTCTTAAAATGTCCTGCCCACCTTCCAGGGTTGCCCTAAGGCTCAGCTGAGACAAAGGGTAGAAAATTGCTCAACACAACTCAAAGGGGTTCCAAAGCATCAGGAGGGTAGCAGGGCCAGACCTTCCAGGACTGTGACTGAAATAACAGCCACTTGCTAAGCCGAGACAGTTCAGTGACCCTCCTCTCTTGGCCTGCAGCCATGATCCTGGGACCTGGAAGGACATTTAGGGGTGACATTTCATTTCTCCCCAGACGAGGACAGAGTACGAACGAGTCTAGGATCTGTGGTTCAGAGGTATCGTTGGGTCAGACCTTCAGTATCTCAGGTCCTGGCCCCAGTCTGGTCTTTCCTCTAGATTCCTGGGTGCCAGGGTCACACAGGGACATGGAAGGGAGAGAGTGGATTAGGAGTCATGTAACCCAGGGCTCCTGTCCCAGTGTGTGTAGTGCTTTTCACGGAGCACTACTACTGGCATTTTCAGAGTCTCAGAGTGGCACAAATGGTTCAGTGCCTGGCTAGTAACTGAAAGGCTGGTGGTTTGGAAGGAAGGCCTGGTGATCTACTGAAAGCCACAGCCATTGAAAACTCTATGTGCTATTCTACTCTGAAACGCATGGGGTCACCATGAGTCAGAATAAACTCCATAGCAACCTATTTGGTTTCTTCATTTTATTTATTTTTGGTTACTGGCATTTTTAGTGGGCAACTGTGTAGGCCTGGTCCACTCCTTGAGGGACATTTAGCATTCCTGGCCCTTTCCATTAGAGATGCCCCAGTCATCATGATAACCACAAATGCTCTACCATTTCCAAACTGTCTGTGCTCTGGCAAAGAACTGGGGGACCTCTTGAAGGTCCTAGCCCAGAGGTTCTGATGCTCAGTTCTCCCAGGTACTCTGTGAGGCCATGGAGACCCATCGTTGCTGGTGGGGCTGCCTTGTCACCAGAACACTGTGTCCCAGCCCCTCCATTCATGCTGGGCAGGGTGTGCTGAAGGAGAGGGGATTCCCTTGATCCTCTGTTGCCAGCTCCACCCAACTCACACCACCTTTGGTAAGGTCCAAGCTAAGGGAACCAGTCATTCTTCCTGGCCTCTGCTGATCCAGCTGTCCTCACTAAGCCTGTGGGAAGCCTCCATCTCTTCTCCAGTTTAGGGGCCAGGGTGTGTGTGTGTGTGTGTGTGTGTGTGTGTGTGTGTGTGTAGGGGGGGATGGTTCTGAGGCTGCAATTCCTGTGCACAGGGACTTGTCTGTTTCAGGTGGCTTGTCTCTGGCAGTGACAGGAAGGGAATGCCAAATTAACGCTGGGTAATAAATTCTGCAGAAGCCAATAAAACCAAAGCAGGGGGATAGATGCGAAGAACCGCAGCAACTGATTAAACATTTTTGTTGGCAGTCACAGACACATGGCACATTCTCTAGGGTTTGCATCAAGGAGACATCTGGCCACGGCCTATGCATCTGTGGGAGTGAATCCCAATGTGCAGACACAAGGGGCCCAGGGAGGGCAGAAGGCTCTAGAGCGTGGTAAGTTGGGGAGCAGAAAGCACTCTGGTTTTGGGGGCTGAGGCACCTCCAGGGTGGTGGTTGCAGTGAGCATCTCTGGGCAAGGTAAAGGAAGGGCTGTGTTATGATATGCCCCCAGTCTGAGCCTCAGGCCTAGGCTCCCTGGCCAACTCTGGGCTGCAGGAACCAAGTCCTGGGGAAAAGAATGTTCTGTGCTCAGAATGCCTACTGCCCAGCCACCCCACACCCCACACCCAGACTCAGGATTCTAGACTTGAAGCCAGAGGCCCAGGCCTTCCCTGGTATTGAGGGAGAGAGAGAGACTAGAACCAGGAGACAGGGCCAGAGCAGGGCCACAGGAGGAGGTGGGTCTCCTAACTCTTTGGAGTCCCTGATCACGCCATCAAGTATTCTCTGCCTCTGTACTCTCCCCAGGGCACCCTTCCTCCCTACAGGTCCCACTGTGTGCTGGGACCCAGGGCCTCTGGTGCCCCAGTGTAGCATCCACCTGTGTTAGTCAGCTGGGTGTGCACTCCTGTAGACTCAGTCTTACTCGTTTCCATCTTTCTCCTCATATCTGCAGAACCACCCTGAAAGGCCCCACTGGGGCTCTGCAAGGGGGAAGTCTGTCTCTGTGGTAGTGGGGGGAAGTGAGAGATTGAGGGATGAGACAGGGATCAGCTGACTTAGGCCAGTCCTCAGCTCTGCTATGTGTTTTATCACTAGTTGTTGTTGTTGTTAGTGGCCATTGAGTCAGCCCCTGATTCATGGTGAGTCTGTGTGTTACAGAGTATAACTGCTCCATAGGAGTTTCTCGGCTATGATCTTTATGAAAGCAGTTCACCAGGCCTTTCTTCCTCAGAGCTGCTGGTTAGGTTCAAACCACCAACCATTTAGAATAGCAGCTGAAACCGCTTGTATCATCCAGGCTCCTTTTTCTTGGCTCTGTTGGGAAGAATTGGTTGTCCACATGTAACTCTCCTGTTCAAGGTCCTTCAATGGTCCCCACTGCCTGTAGGATAAAACTCAGCCTTTGGGGATGTCAAAGCTGCTCTGGGAGGCCCTGCTTACAGCCACCCCTGGTTGATGCCCCTGAAGTGCAGGCCATGGTGCTATTGTGACAGCCTGGGAACTGCTCCAAAGGAGTGTCACTCACTCCTGTGTAAAGCCAGATCCTGGCCTCCCCATAATCCCCACACTTGGACCATTTAGCTCCTGCACTAACACCCAGAGTCCCAGAGACTCAAGTCAGCCTTTTTCCTCTTACCTCACACACTAGAGATATATACAGCCTTGGGCTTAATCAGCCGAGTGCAGCAAGACTGAAGGGCTGTCTGTGGCTCCGATTATATAGACCACCCCAGGTGCGTGCACCTTTGCTCACAGGAGGGGTAGGGGAGCAAATCTCAGCCTCATCAGATCCCTGCCCCTTACACGACACAGGTCAAGTCCACTGCCCAGGCCTGTGACTCAGTCCTCTCCTCCCTCTGCATCCCTCTGCCCTGAGGGTCAGGAGATGGTAGACTCCAGGTCACAACCCCAGTGTCCCATCTGCTGCTCCCCACTTCCAGACTGCCCTGGGTTTCAGCCTTGCCTCCTGCCTGCCACCTACTGGCCACATGAACCACTTGCTCTCCCTTAACTACTCAGTCTCATCTTCATTGTCATATCCTCACAAATGTCACCATTTACCCTTCACCTACTCACTTGCTCTGGCCAAGCCTCCCTCCCTGCCTAGCCTTCTCAGCTAGGTAAGCGGTTCTCCTCCACACGCCCAGAGTTCCTCCCTGTGCTGGCTCTAACTACAGAGCCCAATTCTCTGCATTGTGTCTCCTTTGAAGCCTTGAGGACTAGCAGAGAGCCTGACACCAGTAAACGTTTAGAGCAGCAAAGCTTGGTTTCCCCAGTACAGGAGATGCCCCAAAGAGGAGGAGGCTACAGGGCTCAAGTCATTACCTACCTCTGAGAAGAACACAGAGAGGATGACGAGGCTGATCCAGTGAATTACGCCGGCAAACTGGAACGCACTGGAAACTGCAACAAACACAATGATAAAGGCCAAGTTTAAGAGCAAGGAAGTAGGTGGATCATTAGAGAGGGCTTCGCAGCATGGAGGCAGAACTCTGGGAGCCTGGGGACCTCTTCCATGAACATGAGATCTGTTGAAATCGGGTCAGAGAACATCAAAGGCAGCTTTAAGTGGTGTCTGTGATGGAGGTGGTGGGAGGTTTGTGGGCCAGCAATGCTGTCTGCTTTCCTCCATCCCCAGGGGACTTCCATCTTCTGCCCTACAGCCATGTCTCTGAGTTCCTACTTATCCCGTCAGCCTCATGGGCTTTTGTAGCAGCCATGCTTCAGGACAGGAGCCCTCCAAATGAGGCCTAAGAAGGGATCTGTGCTTTCAGAGATGAGGAGGGAGCTTTAGATGATCTTTCAAAAACCCACACTCACCGCTCACCCGCAAAGCTCTGAGCAATGCTTGTGGGGCTCCAGGAAAGCTTGCTCTGCCTTTTCATTTCTGAGTGGCAGAGATGGTGGGATCAGGCAGGGCATTTCAGAGAGAAGTGAGGCCAGGTACTGGAAGAGGGAGCTAGAGGTACAGAAGGGGCATTAATTTCTTGTCAGTGGCAGGACAAGGAGGCTGGTGCTCTGGAAAACTTCTGAGTTGCTCACTTGCCCTCCAGATGCCAGTGTGTAGGTAGGGAGAGCTGTCAGACATTGAGAACAACCATTCTACTGTCCACTGGTCAATCCTTAGGGTACTAACTGCTGAAGGCCTTTGTTAAGACCCAGGAACCCATGACCAGCTTCTAAAACCCTAGGATGGCATAGCTTATGAGCTTGAAAGGTAAAAAGCAGGGCACTGGGCAGGACAAGGGTCAGGTGAGCTGTAGTCAACTAGAACTCATGGTGGCCCCATGTGTGTCGGAAGTAGAACTGTGTCCCACAGCGTTTTCAATAGTGAGTTTTCAATGGCAGAAGTGGGTCACCAGACCTTTCTTCCAAGAAGCCTCTAGGTGGGTGCAAATCTCCAAACTTTTGGTTAGCAGCTGAGCATGTTAACCACTTGCACCACTCAGGGCCTCTCCAGAGGGTAAGTTTATCAGAGACACTCGTGGGCATTCTGGGCCAGGGGAGCAAGGTACCAGAATGCTGTTAAGGACATTCATGCTTTGCCTCCCTATTGGGCTCCAGTCAGGCCTGCTTAACATGCTACTCAGAATTCCCTGGGGGCCAAAGGAAAGTGCCCAGCACCTTTAGGGGCAAGGGCTGCATCCAAACAGACAAACCCACAGCCTCTCCCAATGCCCTGGGATCTGCAAATCCAGGGGGTAGGTAACAATCAGGTTCTGGACCATATGGGAGAGGAAGAAGGCTGCAATACCAGGTTCCAGGTGGGTGAATTTGGGGTGCCCTGGCTTTGGGCCCAGACGACTCTTAGAAGATGAGCCTCAGAAATGCCCATAGGTTCTTGCCAGGCCAGGCCATGTGAATACCAGTGGGAACCAAGAGGCTGAGGACTGCTTGACTCTGAAAAGACCTCCAGATGATTTTGAAAACATAAAATCTCTCCCCATTATTTCTCAAATGAATTCCTGTGCCTTTTTTTACGGTTTGCTTTAGAAGAGCAATAAATCTTTGATTGTGCGTTTTATGGAATTTAAGATGCCTTTTATGAGCTGCTATTGGATCTCCCACCAAAATCAATCTCCTGGATACTTAATTTTAAGCAAAATTCCAGTGTCTGCTGGGTTCTCAGTTCTGCTCAATGCCTTGTCACAACCGGAGCAGCCAAGGGCCCCGAGTGCAATTCACTACAGGGGAAGAAAGACTCCGTTATGGTTACATCTCATAAAAAGCAGACAGTATGGATGAGCGGGAGGGAAAGTATACAACATGGTTTAATTGAAGACAGGTTGAGTATAAAACCAGTGCCGGTCACTTTATGCTGGAAGATACTTTCATTGGAATCACAGGGCCACCAGCTGCATAAAACCCAACTAGGCTTATCAGACAAAAGCAATTCTGTGCTCACTGTCATCATCTCTCAGAAAGCAGAGAAGGCTAATGGGACTTAATACAGAGGATTCAGTAAAGGAATTGGGGGCATTTGAAAAAAACAAGTCCAAGACGACTACATGAGTCTGGGGTAGCTGGATCTACAGGCCTAGATTTTGCCATTGGCAAGAAAGGGAATCTTTCTGGGGCCTATCATTTCACCCTCTTTTTATTTACACTTGAATGCATCTACCTTCTGAGTCAGGGAAATATGGGAAACCTGGCAGGAGCTCTATCCCCAGAAACCATTCACTCATCCAAAGCCAAGTGTCAAGACCCTTGGCTCCTCTTCCCTTTGTGGACCAGAGAGGGGTCTACAAGGGTTAGGAAAGGAAGCATGATCTCCACTTTGACAGTCACATTGTCTCAGGACATCCAGAAGGACAGAGAGGCTCCTGTAAGTGAGAAACTAGTGTGCACTCCAAGAGGACCTATGGTGGAAAGAGAACTGGCCATGCTATTAAATGATCTGGTGTCTTGAAGTCCTAGCTCAACACTTCTTACTTAGGGCAAGTCATCTAACTTCCCCGAGTCTCGATTTCCCTGTCTATAAAATGGGACAATATCAGTCTTGTACATCTCACAGGGTTGTCATTAAGGTCAAAAGTATTTTCAAAGCAATCATGATATACATAAATAAGGTCACTACTTATGGCTAGATAAATATACAAGGAATCGTCTTCACTGCTGTGGTTGCTGTCCTTATTAGGTGCTATGAGGTGATACACTTCCACAAATGAGAACTCTTGAAACTACAGAGAACTCCAACCTGGAAAATTCCAAATGGAACAATAATTAACACATACAGGGGTCCCCAACATTTTTTATGTCATCAGTTTCTAATCATGGAATGTTGAAGAGGGAGACTCCACATTGGATGCGGAAGGGCATCATGACATGGGGGGTGACTGAAAGAGAAGCTGCCAAATGCATTTCCTCCCCAGTGGTAATCCCATGGGCCATGGGCCATGGGCTTGACAGCAGCATTGAGCTGGAGATAAGACTTCAGAATACACCATAGATCACAATCTGCTGGTTGGGGACCCCTGATGGATGCAGATGCACATTGAATATTGACATCATACGTATTTGCATAGGTATCTCTCTTGCTACTCACACTGGAGAAGCTTTATATCTATTAGAAGTTCCAGAGTCAGGAGAATCACCACCAATATTACACAGGCTACCAGGAAACTGTTGAGACTTGCACTGAGCAAAAATACCTGCCACACGGCTGCTCTCTTCCCACAGCACGGCTTCAGCCAATTAGACCTGTGGGAACAAAAGTGGGGAGACGATGGGTTAAGAGAGGAAAGAGATGACAACAGAGGAGGTAGAGATCTTGGCCAGAGTTCGAGTCCTGTTCTCACACCAACCAGCATCATGTCTCCCAGGTTCTACTTGTTCTATGCTTCATGAATGAAACACAATCTAATTCCAGAAGCTGCTTAGTATAATCATAAAGAAGAAGTACATTTCACTAAGAAATGGTTTTGGGGAATCCTGAGCAAAAGGAGGTAAAATGCAGAACAGAATTTAAAATTCTCACAGAATCTAGAATTTCTGGAGCAGTGGAGGCTAGACGAACCCTTGAAATTATTGCCCAGACATGTTCTTTACACCTTAAACCAAATACATCCCCTGAAGTCTTAAAACCAAACAATAGTTTAGCTTACCTAGCTTGAGCATTGTGGTCTTTTAAGATCTATCTATATGGAATCAAACTGAGAACAGCAACTCGAAGATTAGATGACACTTCTAATGACCTTAGGTTAATGGGGAGTAACAACTTGGAAGAGGAAGGTGACTGCACAACTCAAAGAATGCAATCAACTGTACGTGTAGAAACTATTGAATTCTCATATGTTCTGCTGTGAATACTCTTAATGATAACAACAAAACAAATTTATATATATAGGAGCTCTGGTGGCCTAGGCATTTGACTGCCAACCAGAAGGCTGGTGGTTCAAACTCACCAGCCACCCCTTAGAAGGAAGACTGGGGAATTTACTTCCGTAGTGATACCACCTTGGAAACCCAAGGAGGGCTCACTATGAGTTGGATCTGACTCGATGGCAGTGAGTTTTGTTTTTTTGGTTATATATATGTATGTATATACATACATATGTATGTGTGTGTGTGTGCGTGCATATATACACATATATATACATGTATATATACACAACCTAAACCAAACCCACTGCTATTGAGTCGATTCCAACTCACAACAACCCCCTTTTGATTTCCGAGGCTGTAAATCTTTACAGAAGTAGATCATCCAGTCTTCCTTCCCCAGAGCAACTGCTGGGTTTGAACTATTGGCCTTCCGGTTAGCAGCCAAATGCCATATCCACTGCACCAGCAGAGCTCCATATACAGTGCAATGCCTAAGGTATTTGGATGCTAACCAGAAGGTCAGAGATTCAAACCCACTCCGTGGAAGGAAGACTGGGCAATCTATTTCCGTAAAGATGTACAGCCTCACAAACCCAAAATGGGTTGCTGAGTCCAAATCGACTTGATGGCAGTGAGTTTTTTGAGTTTTATATATATATGAAGTGGCTCTGGGTTTGTATTCTAACCTTGGAAATTCACAGCATCTCTCCATGCTTCAGTCTTCTTATCTTTAAAATGTGTATGAAAAACTCCTATCTCACAGGCTTGTTGTAAAGGCCAAAGAAGATCACAAACATTAGTAGAGAGCTTGGTTACATGGTAAGTGCTGCATGAAAATAATTAGCTGTAATTATTATATGTTGTTGTTATGTGCCGTCGAGTCGGCCCCGACTCATAGCGACCCCTCCTTGGGTTTCCGAGGCAGTATCACTACGGAAGTAGGATTGCCCAACCTTCCTTCCGAGGAGTGGCTGGTGGGTTTGAACCGCCAGCCTTCTGCTTAGCAGTCAAGTGCTTTAGCCACTATGCTACCAGAGCTTATATAATATTTCCATATATATATACTGTTTTGGTTACTTTTGTGCTGCTCTAACAGAAATATACCACAAATGGGATGGCTTTAACAAACAGGAGTTTATTCTCTTACAGTTTTGGAGGATAGAAGTTCAAATTCAAAGTGCCAAGCTCTAGGGGCTGAGTGAAAGCCCCTTAACCTTGGGCTTCAGCTCTGCCTCTTGCTCCCTATCCACTGGAGCTAGAGGTGTCTCTTCCCTCAGGAAGTTGCTGGCTTCTGAGGCTAACAAGCCCAAAGTCTACAAATAAAATGGCACAGTCCCAATATTACCAAACAACATGGCAGGCCATTAGTTCAAGTTCAGAGACAGGCCAAGATCAGCAGGAAACAGGGGAGGCTGCTAAATGAAAACTTGGCTACATGCCGGGTTCAAGCATATAAAAAATGCTGCAGACCATTGCCAAAGCTTCTCCTTATAAACTGGAAGCAGACCACATCCCTAAAGCAGCTACTCAGCTGCTTACGGCAGATTCTACCAGGGAATTGATTGCCAGTCTCATCATAGGGAATAACTACAACCAGCTGCCAAGCCACTCAAAACCAAGCCCAGCCAAGTTGACACATAACCTTAACTACCACCTATACTATATAATAATATAGTGTATTCCTGTGTAGTCTCAGAATCTAACATAGTCTCTAGCATTTAGTAGACCCTTAACATGCCTTTAATAAATGCCCAATGAATTAATGAATTAGTAAATGCTCAATGAATTAATAAGGAGCTCTGGTGGCACAGTGCCTAAGGCATTTGACTGCTAACCAGAAGGTTGGTGGTTCAAACCCACCAGCCACTCTGCAGAAGGAAGACTGGGCAATCTACTTCTGTAAAGATTTACTGCCTCGGAAACCCAAAGGGTGTCACTATAGTCAGAATCGACTTGATGGCAGTGAGTTTGGTTTTTTGGTTCAATGAATTAATGTTCTTGTTGTTAGGGACTACTGAACTGGTTCCAACTCATAGCAACTCTATGTACAACAGTATGAAACATTGTCTGGTCCTGAACCATCCTTACAATCATTGCTCTGCTTGAGTGCATTGTTGTAGCCACTGTGTCAATCCATCTCATTGAGCGGCTTCCCTTTTTTCACTGACCCTCTACTTTACCAAAGTATGACAGGGAATGGTCCCTGCTGACAACATGACCAAAGTACAAGAGACAAAGTCTGGCCATTCTCGCTTCTCAGAAGCATTAGAGCTGTACTTCTTCCAAGACATATTTGTTTGTTCTGGCAGTCTATGGTATGGTCAATATTCTACCATAATTCAAATGTACCAATTCTTCTGTAGTCTTCTGTATTTAGCTGTCACATGCATGTGAGGTGATTGAAAAGAAATGGCTTGGGTCAGGCACACCTTAGTCTTCAAAGTCACATCTTTGCTCTTTAGCACTTTAAAAAGGTCTTTTGCAGCAAATTTGCCCAGTGCAATGCCTCATTTGATTTCTTGACTGCTACTTCCATGGGCATTGATTGTAGATCCAAGTAAAATGAAATCCTTGACAACTTCAATCTTTTCTGCATTTATCATGATGTTGTTTACTGGTCCAGTTGTGAGGTTTTTTTGTTTTCTTTATATTGTGATGTAACCCATCCTGAAGGTTGCAGTCATTGATCTTCATCATTATATGGATCAGTAAGCAAAGTTGTGTCATCTACATATCACAGGCTGTTAAGAGTCTTCCTCTAATCCTGATGCTGTGTTCTTCTTCTTTTTTTTAATTTTTTAATTGTGATTTGGGTGAAGATTTACAGAGCAAATTCACTCTCGATACAGCAGTTCACATATACTTTGTCTCATGTCATTGACCACAGTTTACCACAATGCAACAGCTCCCCTCCAACTTCCTCCCCATGGTA